ATCAGTCGTCATGTCTCTGGGGACGGCGACAGAAACCGGCGGTTGTGAAAAAATGGCAGTGGCTTAGCTCAGCTATGCCAGGATATGCGTAGCGTTAGCAAAGGTTCAGCTGATTATTCTTAGCTTTCCAGATATCATGCTTAAAGCTGTTCCAATGACACACACACGGTATATGTATTATGTGGCACATGTATATTTATTTTGCCGGGCAACTACTTCGGGATCCGATGAGTTAAGCTTCTCCGCTCTACTGCACCGTTGAGCAGCATTTGCACTGTCCTTCTCCATGGCTATACCACTGTGGAAAACACCAGTCAGACCCGCTATCAAGCGGGTCCAGCGCAGTGTCAGATGGCGACTGCACAAGGAAGGCGCGCGCGTCGGCGTCCATATGTCTACCAAGGCTATGACGGCACTCTTCTGGAAAGCGCACACCGGCGGCGGCAAGTCGCGCGCGGCCGCGGCCGAGTGCGAGGGAGGTGCCGGCTCCGGTGCATGACACCACTGATCGTCTGCGCAACGCATCGAATTGAGCGCACACCGGCGGCGAGCCGCGCGTGGCGGCGGCGGAGTATCATTGCGCATGCGCAGACCAGTGCCACGCGAAATTGGCTCAGCGAGGCCAGCGTAGCTATCGCTACAAAAGCACGCGGTGTCTAAGCCACCGTCGAGCGCTTTTTGACGACGGTAGGGGCCGGCTGAGTTGTGCATGAGGGCGAGGCCGTCGTCGTTGTAGTGGGGACAACGGGCGCACTCGTTGTAGGACGAGGGATGGCCTCCGAGGTCGTATCGCCAGTACCGACGAGCGCATCTCGGAAGGAGCGTCCCTTGAGGAAGTAAGCGCTGTGGCCAGGCGTCCTCGTGTGCTCCAGGGCTTGGCGGTGAGTCACGGTGCCGTCGGTTGAGGCCATGATGACCAAGGCCCTGCGATGAAGCTGCAATCTGGACAGCGCGGCTCGGTTGCAGGATGTTTGCCGCGATAGTTTATGCAGTGAGGGTGTCCTGCACACGATTCTGGGGCGTGCTTGATGCTGCAGCGCAGGCACCGTTCGTCTCGAGTGCAGGTGGCGGTTGCGTGCCCGAAGCGGCCGCAACGGGAGCACTGCAGGGGCCGCGGCTGGCGGGGTCGAACAGGGCGCCTTTGCTTGTAAAGCAGTATATGCGGTGGGATGGTAGTCCCAGCGAAGGTGAGGGTGAGGCAGTCGCCTCTGCGTACACCGGACACGAGGGGCACTGGCGAAGCAATGTTGTCAGCGAGGTCCTCGAAGGGGATCATTGGGTCCACTCCAAAAACCATGCCGACACAGGTGTTCAGGTCGAGTTGTTTGGCTCGAACCTTGGTCTCGCAGATCGTCCCTAGAGTAGGGCGGTCGGATCGGTGGTATGGTGGGTGCTGACAGCAACGAGGTTGCGCCGGAAATTCACCCGCACTCACTGGATGGCTGGGAACCCCCAAAGGAAGGCGGTGATCGCATCCCTCGATGCAGCCTGGAAGTTAGCCTTCTTCCTGATGGGCCGAAAGACGATGGTGGCCGCACATTCACTCAGAGTTAGGTCGCCGACGACGTGAGGACCATCGGAACGCGATGACGTGGTGTGATTGAGAGCACGCTGCGCGCACTGGGGACGGACGCCGTTTGCTCGGCGAAAGCAGTAGTTGAAGGACGAGATGAGGAGGTGTTACTGCCAGGGGGGTATCCCTCACAGAAATCCACGGCCTTGGCAGGAGACGAGGAAGCTCCGGTCTGCGCCTTCGCTTTGCTCGAAGCCGGGGAGAGTGTTGCAGTGTGATAGATGCTGACCTTCTGTGGCTGGGTTTTCTTGGAGCGTGCTGGCTTGGATTGTGCCTGCTGCTGCTGTGTTGGCACTGATGATGATGCCGAGGCGGCCACGACGGCATCCTGCTGCGTTCTGAATACCTATTTGTGTATTGTGTTATAGGGTTTTGTACAATATGTCACGGTGTTCCTCGCTCGTTCCTTTGGAGGTGATTAGCAAGGGTGGTAGTGCTCTCTTTTTTACTTTTTTTTCTTAATTTCTTTCTCTGGCTTTCTTTTCTTCTTCAAAATTACAATTTGACACGTGTCATATTCATTTTTTTAAATTCAGTAGCCTGCAATATTTTGGTGCAACAGGCAAATCATTCTTCGTTATTTTATTTTTATAATTTAAAAATAAAATTTGCCCACACAAACCTGTTAGACATTCACTCTTAGTTTGCGCACACGCTGCGAATCTTTATTGTTCGACTACGCACAAGAAATATGTCTCACTGGCACTACGTTGCAGGTCAAGATCCATTTCATATATATATACGGGGTGGCTGGGGAATGGTTGCGCAGTACGAGCAGGCGGTATTTTTCATGAAGAAACTCGCTAGCAGATGCTGACAGCGACGGCGTTGTCTCTTGCACTCTCATCCTTTTCGAGCTGGTAGTTCAGCGTTCAGCGCAGTAAGAGCGTTTCCATGGTCAACGCGCGCCATTCGCTCTCTCGCCACACAGCTACACCCTATGCTGATCCGCCCCGAAAACGCCCGACGCTCGACTGCTTAGATTTAGGTGCGCGTTAAAGAACCCCAGGTGGATGAAATTTCTGGAGCCCTTCACTACGACGTCTCTCATTACCATATTGTGGTGTTTGGACATTGAACCCCAACGATCATCATTAATCTCTTGACGTTTCTCGTCTTCCTGGCGCACTTCGTATCGTAAGAACAGTGATTTACGTGACGTCATTAGGATAGATACTCTCGATTGGCTCATATTCGTGGAATGTCAGTCGTGAATTGTCCCCTACCCTGTAGCTGTGACTTGCAGTGGCCCACTTTTTCTTTCTCGTCTCTCTTGACTATCATGCGCGATTAACTATTTCGCTTCAATTTGTGCATTTTCGACTGCACAAGTTCAGATAACAGCATGTAGCCGAGAAGCACAAAATCCTGATTGGCATTACACACGCGCCATTAATAATTCAGTGGGCAGAAGGAGATACAGAGAGGTAGTGAAAGTGGGAAAGAAACAACTACATTGCCTTCAACGCGGGGTGGCTAGGGGCCCTTTAAAACACTTACGTGGATTTCACACTCTCAAAACATATCTTTTTTATGAATGGAATACCCTTAAGCCAGGAACGCGTGACTCTAGTTTCTCCCCACCACTCTATCTTCAACGCCTTTTTCATTTTTTACACCTTCACATCTCTAATTGGAGTGACCGACAGTGCGGCATGCGAGCTTTGCGGCACCGAAGACATCGATCATATGCTATGCGGTTTCCCTCGATTTGCCTCCGAAAGAAGAAAACTCTCTGGCGTGTTGCGACAATTAGACTGTTCGGCCACGCTCTGTGCTGCTGAACCACCGTTCTTGTCTTTCGTCGGCTCACAAGGCAGTCAAAGACCTCTAGCGCTTTTTGAGGACTATGGGCCTATGTAAACGCCTTCGACATTTGTATAGTGCCACCGCTGCATACACATCAGCCAATTTACTGACGGTTTTTTGTCTCTCTCTCTCCTCTTTATACTCCCATTTTCCCAGCGTAGGGTAGCCAACTCGGCAACTGCCTGGTTAACCTTCATGCCTTCTTTCTTATTCTTCTCCTTCTCTCCTCACAGCTAGTTGTTTTTCCTCCGCAAATGACATATCACTCACATATAGGCTCCTGTAAATTAATTTCCCGTGTTTGCTGTATCATATACCCCGCTCTGAAGGTGATATTAGCATAGATTCTCTCTTAGTACGTGCGATGTCTGATTCCAGTAATGAGAACCCATGGGCGCGGCGTTTAGTCATGCATCATCCGTCACACATGAAACCAACAGATAATGACTCGTGCGCTCGAATCGTTACCTTGAAACTTAAATGCCTATATTTATTTAGTTTGTTTTTATATGGGGCATTTTATGCTTTCTACATCGCACAAGATGACGCTCTTTGATGACAAATCTTTGCTTCTTTGATGTCGTGCTAGTCTGTGTGAATGGACCTAATTCTGCCCTGAGCGCATTCACTGCCCCCTTTAACTCCCCGTATTTGCAAACACCCCACGCTGCGACCGTGTCATATTTAGCTACATTGTGTGTTTGCAACCATTAGTGGTAGTACTGATGTGGACATGTGCCATGTGAAAGCATTCGGAAAACTAGAAAGAGAATGAGAGAGGAGGAAGCAAAGAAAGGCAGTGAAGGCAACCAGATGCACATCTCGTTTGCCACCCTGCGCTAGCAAAATGAATGAAGGGGTGCAGAGATACACAGAAGAAGAAAAGAGGGATGAACAGAATCATGGGCACACTCTGGGAAGCTTATCCAGTCTACAGGTGGTCACATAGATCTGTTGCCTTTCCGTATTTCAGTAGCGCTTTCGTTGCCTCCTTGGCACTCGATGCACGCGTTCATAGCCTTAAAATCTTGTTTACAGTAAATATTTTCCAGTCCACTTGGTTCCAAAAGCATCCGGAGCAGGCATCACTGTGTTTCATAGCGAGCGCAGCTGCACAGGGCGTGTTTTCAATTTCCTGTTCGCAAATGTACCGCTCTAATACGACGCTGTTATACCTCATTTGGTTGGGTGTTGCACCAAGGCGTGCTCGTTTCGCATCACTATCGCAGACAATTTAACATGCGACACATGCTAAACCAAAAAGACAATTTGGAAAACTATACTATTCACCTAAATTCACGATCTGATTAATTATCAGGAAAACCTAACCACGTCATACGATTCACACATTATAAAGAAGGCAAAACAGAAATAATTTTGAATGAAAAGCCTCGCATCGTGTGGGAGACAATCTCGTAGCACTCTCACTATGCTAATAGTACTCTGTCAAGGGAGAAACGGCGCCAACTCAGACACCCCGACGAGGAGAACTATGAACTTGGTACACATTTCTCCTCCCTTCATGCCCTCAATGCGTACTAGTTTACAAGACGTTGAACATTTCTGTTACGTTCAGTGGCCTAAAACGCTTCCTACACTTTTGTGGTCCCAGACAGCTGGAGGCGCGGCCGGCATGCTGCAGCCATGGTGCAAACGGCGGCCTGGCGCCTGGAGCCCGTGTGCCAGCCGCCGGTCTCCGCGGGCCGCGCACGCTGTCCTGGTGGCGGCGGCCGCCTGCTCGGCGTACGCCTCGTCGCTCGGTGTCGGACTCGTGTTCGACGACCTCGCGGCGATCAAAGCCAACCGGGACCTCAGACAGAGCACGCCCATCGCCAACCTATTCTTCAACGACTTCTGGGGGACCCCGCTTCGGAAGGTGAGTCGACTCATTCGATGCGGCAGTGGGAGCACTCTTTGTGCGATATATTTTGTTTTGTGTTTCTGCTTTTTCTGTTTTTCTGTTTTTCCGCAAGTCATTTTAAATTGTTTGCAATTACGCTGACGTCAGAATCGCTCCGCCAAATGACTACCTCGATTACACGATCACCGGGTGTCTACTCAAATCACCGTGAGGCACATGCGACAAACCAGTTTCAGGTTTACAGAAAAAGTGAGCTTTGTTTTCAAAAAAAGGGGGGTGGCAGTGGCTGGTAGCCATGCTCGGCGTAGATCACCTTTTTAAAACGTTTTTATTTATTTATTGTGGATCTTCGAGAAATCTGTTGCGAATAACGTGCTATTTGGACTCACCTGCCTGCGAGCGGGCTGTCGTCGCCACGATCGACAGCCTTGTCTGAGCTAAGTAGTCTCCACTTCGTGAATATCCCCTTCTTCTCCCCCCTTCCAAAAAAAGGGCGTATAGAGCGATGATGTCGGCAAAAGCATATGTATAGAGCCATTATTACCCCCGTGTGCTTATGTGACGTAAGATATAAGTTATAAAGTGTATATACTATGAATAAATATTGATATTCGAAGTTTTGTTTGCTTCTTTGTCTGCCGCAACGATGTTCGTAGCAAATGCCGAGAGCGATTCCAATTTAGTATCGCTTCCACTAAAGCACTGGAAAGGCTCCATGGATTATCGAGAGGATACATATAGCGGCGTTTAAAAACTTAAACCTACGAAGGCGATGGAAAATGGCGTGTTCCTCAGCCATGGCCTCTCAGAGCCGTGTATGGTGTCAGGGATAGGAAAACGCGGAGTGGCGCTCCGACTCAAAAATGTATACACCGGAAGGGCGAAACGAGGCAGAAGCCAAGAAAATGCGCTCGAGGGAGAGCACTGTGTGCATCAGCGATGCACGATGGCTCTTGGCCGAACTGCATTCAATTCCGGAACTCGTGCATGATGTATCACTCCGCTGCCTCGCGCATCTCCCGACGAAAGTTGGCTCTTCGAAAGCAACGCAGCGCCTCTATGCATTTTTAATGAGACGCATCGCTCCCACTCGCCGTTTCCTCTGTGGCTCCCATCACTTTTCCAGCATTCGCCGTTGCTGAGTTTAGTTTTTTGTCTTTCGTCTTTTTTTTTTTGCCGTGGCCCTTCCTACTCGGGGTCAGGGAAGCGTTTATCTTTTCTCTAGTTCTTATTCATCGTTATCTTTGCTTTAGTCCCTTGACGTTAGCTATTCGTCCATACTGAATTGACAGGAAATGCACGCTGCACTGTGCCGCAAAACAAAAAAAGAGGGGGGAGGGGGGGAGACAGTTGGCCATACGCCCCGTCAATTTGTTCGCTGTCATCGTTAGCACACCGCGTGCATGTATTCGTTTCGGGAGAATTCGTGGTGACTGCTGATGGTAGGTGCACTTCGGCGTGCCTGCATTTGAAAAAAACGAGTATATCAACCTCATATGCAAAAACTTAGGACTGGTAAAATAGGCTAATGTACTAGGTTGCACGGCGTACAGAATGGCTAGTTATTCGATCGCACTTTTCAGCTGCTCCTCTCATTCTCATTTTGCACATGAATGCTTTCTCGACGGACGATAATGACCGTATTATTTGCGCTCCTTCGAAATCCGCGCAGCCATTAAAAAATCCATGAGCTATAACCGGCATGGAGACGTAGCGGCTGTCACGTAGCGCTTCGGCGCGATCACTCACACTTTTCGTTCCTAGGCGCGGCGGCTACATTTGTATGAAGGCGAAGGCAAAAACTATCGTATATCTATATAAAAGGGTACGGTAAGAAGCCCCAGGTGGTCCAAGTTGTTCCAGAACGATGCGCTACGTTATCTCTCACATATATCTTGTCTTTCACTGTGACGTCAGACTCTGGTCTATTGTTTTATTTATCGTGGCCAGCATGGTGCACTGAGCTCTGTGCTATTCAAACTCGTGCTGTCTGGTATAGCTCACACCTATCAAGCACAATTAGGCTATAAATGTGCACAGCTGACATCTGCGCTTGGGTGTCAACAGCAACATGCCTCCAGCTGCGAGCGAGAAGCCAAAGATCTGGCACTCAAGCAATTTTTTGGATTTATATTCAATTCCCACAAATGTCTTGTGAGGAACTGTGCACATGTGGCGTTTCCGCGTGAACCCATAACAGACTACAGCGTAATTACTAATGACCACATGTTAGAGTATATTACATAATATAGTGTTCTAGGCGTCGTAATTGACAGGGACAAATATCATAAAGCGCTCGTGTATTTCGCATAAAGTGGTAAAGGTAACTGTCGCCTTTTTAAATTATGCATTCTAAAGGTCCAGAAAATGTCCTCAAATGCTATGCTATACAACACAGCCTGCTTTTGCTTGGTTTCATGCGGTACAGGTTACAAGAGCTAAATTGACCAAAACAATTAAAACAATTTTACGCATGATACAGTGTTTAACCTCAAATACTCAAAACTTGTCTAACATGCATGAACATTGACAACTACGGAAATCACTAGAGACGACCTCCTCAATGTAGAAGCACTCGGCACAGGTCCGGGCTCTCGGCTACCACTTAGCTTCTCTGCCTGCAGACAGACCACGTCACGTACCTCTTTCTTCTTAAAGGGTAACTCCCGTGCATTTGCATCCATACTGAGATAATGCTATTTTCTTGCTAATGCTTTTTCAGGACTGTATTGACAGTCCTGAAAAAGCTAGGGTGCTTCATTTTGCCCAGGAACTCGTCAATAATTTCGATTAAGCAAGAAACGACGAGTCAGAACAGAAACCAAAACAGGGATCGCCTCTGTCGTCCATAGTGGGTATCCAATGACGTCACAAGATATACCATCACCGATGACGTCACGAGATCCACTACACCCCACCACGGCTGGCCAGGGTGTAAACATAGCTCAGGTGCCTCGAACTTCTCATGCGCGAAAAGCAAGTTGGCGATAGAGCTGACAAAATTTGACTGTGCTCGCGTTGTCATCACCTTGTAGAAGAAAGCCTGTGCTGCATTCGTCTGCTGGGAAAGGCGGGGTTTCGACAAAAAGAGTAGGCCCTGACGTCGTAGACACAGAGTGGCCCGCGTTTAGAAGTGTGATTCCAAAATCAGCTACAAATTTTACATTTCTTTTCTAAAAATCCAAATGACTTATAGTTGTGTAATTTGGCACATATCACCATGGTACCAACGCAAACACATGTTCAAATTTTTGTTGAAATCAGTGAATATCAAAGAAAAAAATACCGGAGTTCACCTTTAACAGAAACCGTGCATCGGAAAGCACTGCAATTTTCCACTTCTGTCATAACATAGTTGACTCCCCCATGCGTCTTAACCGGCCAAGTACCATTGCAAGCTCATCATACCTGGTTTTCAGAAAAAAAAAAAAAGGCATATTTCTCTTCGAAGGCTCTGAACTAGAACTGACCTGACTTCTATTATACGAAAAGTACAGACGAACACCGACTGCTCCATCTTCTTGAAGAGCTCCATCGCAGAAATTATGCTATTACCAATGTCACCAGATTCAAACACATCCCCTAACAACTTCAACGGCAGCAGAGCTCGAATTGCTTTGTACCAGGTTTGTTTAGTGGTCAACAGGGACACAAATGAAAGAATTTAACGCACCAAAGGTATACAGGCCATGTCATAGAAAATCTTGTGTTGGCGTTGGAAGCGTTGGTTATGAGCGTAAAAAAAAAAACAGCCTAGCTTGTATACTAGTGGCGCATTGATCGGCATCTAACTCGTCGTGGCGTTTTTGAGATCATGCGAGGTTAGGCCAAATAATGTGAGGTTGTGCAGAGTAATGCAAGATTATGCTATGCCCAGCTGAGCGTGACGTTACGGGACTAGCCACGTGCCATTTTGTTGTCACGTTGCACCAGTGCCACGTGACACTAGTTGCGTGTTTCATGACTGATCACGTGACGTGGCTTGTCACGCGAATAGTCACACGACACTTTCTCGCATCAGTTGTCCCATTACATTTTTTAGGGGCGAAGCTCCTTAGGGCGTGGGCTGTGCGTCCCCTGTAGACTGTATGTAGCCACCTCTAGTTTAGTTCTTGCAGTGTTCACTAGATGGCGGTACCGTCCCCTGTATGTAGCCACCTCTAGTTTAGTTCTTGCAGTGTTCACTAGATGGCGGTACCGTCTCCTGTATGTAGCCACCTCTCGTTTAGTTCTTGTAGTGTTTACTAGATGGTGGTACTTGTAGCTGATGATGAAAAGATGCAAGATGTTATAAACTAGAAAGCGGTACTTGTAGTTGATGAAAGACGCGAGATCTTATAAAATAGGAATGATGTCACATATGGCGCGTGTCATTGGTTGAAGGCAATCGTTCGATTTAGTGCGGCGACGTACGCTAGGGGGAGCGATGTAATAAAATCGAGTGGGCAAAATGTACAGAGGATTCATGGTTTACCAGGTTTACCTCCGGAGCTTCGCCCACTCATCATCATTCACTTCGTGGATATGGCGGAATTTTTTTTTTGTCGTCCCGCCCCGGTGGTCTAGTGGATAAGGTACTCTGCTGATGACCCGCAGGTCGCGGGATTGAATCCCGGCTGCGGCGGCTGCATTTTCGATGGAGGCGAAAGTGCTGTAGGCCCGTGTGCTCCGCTTCGGGTGCACGTTAAAGAACTCCAAGTGGTCGAAATTTCCGAAGCCCTCCACTACGGCTCATAATCATATGGTGGTTTTGGGACGTTAAACCTCATATATCAATCAAATCAACATTTTTTTTGTCACATGGCAGAATTCATGTGACGTTCTGTTGCCATTTGTAGTGCCAACTATTACGAGACTCACGTGACAAAACGTCATGTGAAACCAGTATCACATGACGCTAATCCCTGGACGCCACTAACGTGACTAGTGAAGTGACGGCGACATCACGGCGTATGCGCAGCTGAAGATAATAACGCCGAGTCATGCAGAACACCAAAGTTCTTGCTGCCAACTTA